ATTTTGCATGAAAATTTTTTTCCCAATTTAAGTTCACCTAGCTTGTGTCCCAGATGCTTAAATTAGTTTTTATATGGCATGATGCAGTATAGGAAGGTGCTCAGTTAATATGAACAGGAAATAAAAAGTCTGGAGACGAGTTGAATAGTATGAGTGTAGTAAGAACCAAAATACTTGTGTCACTCATGCAGAAACGTTTTAGCTATTTATTAATCATTATTGTGTTATCATATAACTTCTTGGGCTTTGGTAAACCACATGGCCTTAGTTTCAGTATATTTCTGGGTGACAGGTCTGCAGACATTAACTCATGCTTCTGTAATGCTTTTGCTTTTTTCTGCTCTTGACAGTACCAGCAGGTTGCCAGTACTTCATTCATGACCTGTTATTGCTGTAATGGTCTGTTGTAGCTTTTCAAGTAAGAAAAACCAGCAGTGAATTTGTACAATTTTCACATTTTTCATCACAGTCATTCTCATAAGCAGAAAGGGATGCATTTAATTGCAGCTTATAAAGATATCTTATCTTTATAAGAACAAATTGCTATCAAAATGCATTTTTCTTTTATTATGCTATGTGGAAGGGAGATGACAGAATCTTCCCCAGGACACTTTAGTTAGAAAAATACAAAATAAATTTCTGAAAGAATGCAGCGTCCTGAAATACATATTTTAATGCCTGAAGCAAATTACAGACAGTATTATTTGAAAGGGTAGCTTTTTCATGTCAGTAACTTGAATGTGGGATATTGATTTCTAATTTTGTATCAATACTATTCCAATTTCTTTATCAGAAAAAAATCACAAGTTGTACACAAGTTGTACTTGGATGAGGTTCTGTCAGGGAAACTGTTTATTGCTCTTAGAGTATTTGGGGCTCCTGAAGTCTCCAGACCAAGTAACCTATAAACCATTATATCCCACTAAGTAGGAATTTTCTATTCTGTTGTGAAGTTGTGGCTGTCACTTTGCATTAAATACTGTTCCTCTTCTGTGGCCATTTTCCACAGTTAAATTTGTTCTCATGTTCCTACTCTTTCTCAAGAGTTATCCTTATTTTTAGATTAAGCACATGATGGTAGATCATGCCTGCTGCTGAAATATCTTATTTTTCCTCTGAAATAACTTTTTCTGAAGGCCAAAAAAGAAAGAACAATCATTTTGTTAAGGGTGCAAGTTACCCCATGTGTTATTTTTTTTTCAGATTACAAAATAGAAATATTCTTTCTCAGTAATTCATTAACTTGGGTGATAAGAGGACAGGCACCTCTGAAGGCCACAGGAGGCATCATCCTATTGATTGTTTTTAATTTACTAATTTGTTTAGATAACTGTCTTAAGGCTCTCTTCCAGCTGACTTGGTGGCCAGAGTTGTTCAGAACAAGGGGGAAAAAGGTGCCAACTGCTTAGAAAGTAGTTAATCACACTCAGCCAAATTCTGCAATACAGAAGCATATCCTAATGTGGGTTTATTGAATTATGTGGGGTTTTTCACCATTTTACAGAAACCTATTGTTTGTGTTGAGTGGGTTTTTTCCTGCACAGAAGTTTCACGTTTCATTATTAAAAACTTAATTGTGTTTACTGCAGAGAGTAAAGAAAAGGCCCTTCTAGAAACAACCATATAGAAATATGCACTGCCTAAAAAATTTATTGTTTCATAATTGATTTTTTTTTTTTTTAAGTAAAAGAGTAACTTTGGTTTGGACAGATTTTTCTTTTTTCTTGTTAAATGTGTGATGATCAAAATTCTGGTGAATGCTGTAGAACATTTCTGTGTGTCACTTAGAAATGTCTGGGTTTATGACTATATAAAGCTTTATAGACTGTTTCATTCCAGTATCCAATTTAGATGATAAAGAATGCAGTGCAGTATATAAATAACTTTATGGAAAAACAGAGTTAAATTTAAGTAGTGAAAGCAGTAGTTTATTACCATGGTCAGATTTTTAGAAGCCTTATCAAATGCTTGAATTAAATTCTTTTTTATTGACTTTCATGAAAGACGTTCTGGGAGACACTACTGTCCTGTGCCAGCAGTACTGATATAGAAATTGGGAAGAATTGTGAAGAGGTTGCTAATTTTGGAGGTCTTTTACTTCAATTATTATTTGTTTTGCAATGTCTAGTGGTCTTCAAGGCTGTGCTTAGTGGGGAAGTGTTTTACCCATGATGTTTCATCTCTGTCAGTGCATCCAAGGAATTCTGCTCAGAGGTAAACCCAGGAGCTGCTGCTTGGCAGCTGCCTTCTCTGAGGATCAGGAAAATCATTTTCCCGTGGGGTGGAGTGCTGTGGTCACCTCTGCAGGGCCCTGCCTGGGCTGACTCTGAATGCAGATATCCCTCGATTTACAAGTGAGATTTCCCCCCAGCAGGAGAACAATATCAGCTTTTGTGTGGCTGGGGCCTCTCTGCTGGCTTTGTCTGCATCTGTGTGTCCCAAGGAAGAGATGGTTCTCTAGGCTGATGCCTTTTGGCTGTTGATTTTAAAAGTTTGTACATTGTTTTCATAGATGGAATCCTTGAGGTAAGTGTTGTTATTTCCGTGATAGATATTTTACAAGCTTTCAAGAAAGTTTATTTTACTTTTTGTCGGCTTAACACTACACATTTATGGTTTTAAATAAATGAGGTTCAATAAATTTTGCACTGGCCACTTGTATCATATATCCATGTGTGCAGCCACTTCTTTCTTTTTTGAGTTTCATTTATATTCACAGTGCATGTATTTAAGGCATGCTGATTTCTCAAGAGAATCTCCTTTCTGTGTCTGTTATCCTTTGCTGCTCATGGTAGTGTTTCACAGGAACCTGCATCTGTGCACACTTCAGTTTCCTTAGGATTTCTTTTGAACTCTGTCATCCAAACAGATTTGGTCCTGAAGTCCAGACTTTTAAGGAAACATATTTTCTCTTTTGCTAAAATGAATGTTGTTGGAACCTCAGTTTAGCTTCTTACACGGTTGGCTAAAGCTTTCTGCTGGGTTTATTTTGGTTTGTTCTGTTTACCCTCCCAGTCTGGATGTTGGCACAGTAAATTTGAATGTCCTTTGTAAAAGTTGCAGTTATTCAGCAGTGTCCAGGCATGGCTGATACTATAGTCCTCTGTTTGACAATGTTTTAAACTCTCCATGTATTTATCCCTGATCTACTCTTTTTTTGAGCAAAGTGTATTATTTTAACAATTTTAATGCATACTTTGGAATTAAAAAAAAAAAAAAAGGGAGAGGGGAAAGCAAAAAAACATTTTGATTTTTGTCTTCAGGATGATTTCATTTTCTTTTTTCTTTTATTTTAAATCATGAATAGATTAGTGGAATATCTATCATATGATGAAGAAAATAAAACTAGCAGATGCATATAAAAAGCTTAAATGTTTTTCGAGATCATCTAGTTTTGCATTGTT